ATAACAGAACCAGATGGAGCAGCAATGAATTTAACACCAGATCTGACAGCTCTGTAAACATTATCAGGGAATGGGAAGAAAGCGTCAGAAGATAAAGCAACATCAGTTAACTTGCCTAACCATTCTTCTCTTTCTTTTTCAGTCAAAGGTTCTGGCAATTCAGCAAACTTACTTTCGTATTCAGTCTTTTCTGGCTCAGAGGTTGGGATTTGGCCGGTGACGAATAAATCGATGGCGTTGGACTTTTCAGGTCTCTTAACACCCTTGGCCCATTTCATACCTAAAACCTTTGGATGTTGTCTAAACCACCAGTTGTCGGCCTTGTCACCTGCTAATCTGGTACAGTGGATACGAGATTGTTGACCAGCACCTAAACCAATAACCATACCATTCTTGGCATAACAAACCGAGTTAGATTGAGTGTACTTCAAAACAATAGTTGCCACAGTTAAATCAATGGTACCTTGTTCAGTTAATTCCTTGTTCTTGGAAACAATTTCTTTGAAGGAGTTACCCTTGATGATGGCGTCATTTCTCTTTTGTTGTAAAGTGATACCGTAAACTTGTCTTGATTCCAAGTTCTCTGGGTTGTAGTTAGGGTCGATCTGTAAAATACAGTACTTACCACCCTTCTTCTTTTTCAAGATCTCTAAAGCTTCATCAGAATAACCTGGGGCGATTACACCATCGGAAACTTCCTTAGAAATAATTTGGGCAGTTGGTAAATCAACAATGTTGGATAAAGCGATCCAGTCACCGAACGATGACATTCTGTCAGCACCTCTAGCTCTAGCATACGCATTAGCTAATGGAGATAAGTTTTCAATGTCTTCAACAAAGTAAATTTTCTTTTCAACATCTGACAATGGTAAACCGACAGCACAACCAGCTGGGGAAACGTGTTTGAAAGAGGCAGCGGCTGGTAAATTTAAAGAAGCTGATAATTCCTTAACTAATGGCCATGAGTTTAAGGCATCCAATAAGTTGATGTAACCTGGGGAACCAGACAAAACCTTGAATGGAAGTTCACCTTGGGTAACGAAAGCTTGAGCAGGCTTTTGGTGTGGGTTGGCACCGTATCTTAATGGCAATTGAGATACGTTTTCAGCGTATTCCTTTCTGAAGAAATCAGAAATAGCAACATCGTAATCGGCGGTGTGTTCGAAAGCCTTCAATGCGTATCTGTTTCTAGCTTCAGCCGAAATTTCACCAGTCTTTAATTGTTCTAAAAAGCCGGCGTAATCCTTAGGATCAGACAAAATGGTGACTCTGGAATGGTTCTTAGCAGCAGCTCTCAACAAAGTAACACCACCAATGTCAACTTCCTCAACAGCTTCTTCAATGGTAACAGCGGCCTTTGACACAGTTTCCTTGAATGGGTACAAGTTACAGACAACAATGTCAAATTTTTCAATACCTTGAGCTTCTAAATCAGCTTCATCACTCTTCAAGTCTCTGGCCAAAATACCTCCATGAACAGCTGGGTGTAAGGTCTTAACTCTACCACCTAACATTTCCGGCGCATGGGTGATCGTAGAAACGTCTTCAACTGGGAAACCGGCTCCACGAATCAATTTCGAGGTACCACCAGATGCTAAGATACGGACATCTTGGGCGACTAATCCCTTGGCTAAGTCTAATAATCCAGTTTTATCGTAAACTGATAAAATGGCAGTTTTAGTATGGTTTGGCATTTTCTCCTAAATAATCAAATAATTGAATTAAAATAATCAAACAAAACTCAAATATAGTTAAATTGAACAATTACTTATTCTATAAAGGATTTCCTTAATTAATTGTTTGAAATTGACCTTCAAATATTTGTTAACAAATTTAAATTGTGTTGGGAGTAATTAATTGATTTTATGAAAATTGAGATTAGGGCAAGAGTCAATCTCACCAATTAATTTTGTGTACAAAAAAAATTTATGCTGTTGACTCCGAGATCATAATGGATGAGCCAGATGTACAGATATCGAAGAATGGATGAACGGAGGAATACCTAGATGGGAAGGTGAGGAAGATGCAGCATCTGTAGGATACCGAACGGATTGTGTTTAAAAGTAGAGGATTACGACGTAGTAGTTGTACACGATAATTAATACAGGCAAAATACATTAAAAACTATATAATATGCATATAATCATTAACAAAACCTTGCATGTTAAATGTAAAATATCCAATTGAACGTAGCATAGGCCAAAACCCGTGCACATATCGAGGGGAAATTACACTTAAGATCTGTATCTCCATAAGGATAAGGTGTTGTTTCTCTTCCAAGTGTGACGACGACCAGCCTTGGTGTTGTTGAACAAGTGACCCTTGTTGATACCTCTGGACTTCTTACCGGTGGAAGTAAGACCTCTGGCTTCTCTGTGCTTATGAACTGGGTTAGCAATCCAGTTGTATCTAGCATCTCTTCTGATAGCCTTGTGGGATGGGTCAAGTAAGATAACTTCGAAGTATTTGTAGGTAGAATCTTCGTTAACCCAGTAAGAGTTTAAGACTCTCAAGTTAGAAGCACGACGGCCGACACGTTCTTCAGCAGTGGCTCTTAAAGCTCTTTGGTACTTCAATTGGTTAACACCGTGGTTGGTTGGCTTACCGTAAGTAGCACCCTTTGGAGCTGGTCTCTTTCTACCACCTCTTCTGACTCTAACACGATAGATGACGAAACCTTGCTTGGCCTTGTATCCTAATCTTCTAGCCTTGTCTGGTCTAGATGGTCTAGAAGCTCTGTGGATAACAGTCTTTTGTCTGTATTCCCAACATCTGACACGATGTAAGAATCTCATGACATCAGATTGCTTCTTTCTTTGCAATTCTTCTAAATACTTGTAGGCACCCATTTTAATTTACTATTCCTTGGTAAAGAGTTGTGTTCAAAAACGAAAGAATAGAGAGAATTTTTTTTTTTCACTCAACTGTTGAAGGTGAAAGTGAAAATTTTCCAATTGGACCTAATGCGGGTAACACCTAAAGACTTGTTCGATTTTGTTTTTCATCTTGGTTCTCGGTTTGTAATATACGCATCGTTCCCAGATGTGCGTGTGGGTATCTTAGAGGAACTGTCCTGCGTGGTCAACCCACGGAATAACTTTCCTCGGATTATTTTTAGGGTCTATATGCAGACATTCGGCCAGGCACATTCGGCCAGGAACATACGACCAACATTCGGCCAGACACAGACACAACTACTGCAAATACGGGGAGCGACGTCGTAATAGTATAACTGGGTATGGGGGTGGTTACAAGTTCCAGGAACAGTTGCCGGCTTTCACATCACGGAGATATAGCCGTCTAGGGCGGGTATGTTTGCTGTTTCTAGTGCGAATGAGGTGGGTGGACCATATCCAGGCGAAATAAGCGCATAATAGCATACGACGGTTATCACACAGATGCTCTGTAGTATCACATCTGAATTTAATTTAGTTGTTTTTAGCTTATATCTATTAAAATACATTAATATATTTTTAGTAATGATAAGTTGACGTCATTTAGCCGTCAATGTTGGTTATTCTTAACACATGGGTAAATTGACACGTTATATGGCAATCTGGAGTTAATACATCCTTGTAACCAGTCTGATTATATGTTGATAGTTCTATCTAAGTTTTGTGTGAAATAAACGGAGGTGCCATCCGTGCATTCGACTAGCACTGACGCCTACTCGCGTGGATTAACCGAAACAGCATATTTGGATAGTCCCCGCGAGGATTTAAAAGATGTTGCGCATACTAAGGTGCGCTTTTTTTTACTTGCTCTTGAAGAACTAAGTATATTTTATTTATTGTATAGGGCAGTATGACCTACCTAGGTACCTACATATATACATACATACCTGCCTACTTGTGTATGAAGATTCTGAAATGCTTCTGGATTATTGAGCTGGGCTCAATTTAGATGCTGGAGAATAACAAGTTTGCGGGAAGCCAATGACTGCGAAACCCCTGCTCGTTGGGTCAGACCGAACGAAATTTTCCGTATAATTTATTCATGCACCATGTATTCCTATGATACACTATATTCGCTGATATTTCACTAACGCCATGATCTATTGCAGGTCGACAATATAGAATTTGTTCTTTCTACCCCCTAAATTGTGTTCAGAATTCCTCATCTAAATATTAATAAATTGCTACGGCCAATTATTTTGTTCCATGTTTCATTCTTGCTGATTACATGGCTGCGTCCTTACTGTAACTGACAAAACAACTATCATTCTCATTATCTTCGTTATCGTTATCGTCCCTATTATCTTTATTATCTTTATCAACCCCATCACCTTCACCTCTACCATCGCCATCTCCCCTTACCTCACTTCTTAGGTATAGCCAATGATCCCAACTGATGTCCTGTGGGAACAAATCACCTCAATGTCATAGTATGCTTTGACGACAACTCGTAAATTAAGGCATAGAATTCACGTGTGGATAAACGAGTTTTCTGGAATTCCTTTTCTGGCCGTCATAAATGATTCGCATTCTATGCATATGCATAGGTTTTAGGCGAAGGTATATTACCGAATACGGCCAATTTATTTCACCAACTTCAATCTTTTAAAACCTACAGGAGCAAAAAAAATATTCTATACTGCAGGCATTATTAGCATAGGAATTCGGATGATCATAGAATAGTGTGAAAGAGCACCACAAATCTGTATTGGTCTTGATGGCGAAAATATATATATATATAAAAGGGGTCCAAGGAAATAAAGTGACGGAAAAAACTCGATAGGCAGAATTTCAAATATTATTATCAAAGGCAAAGCAATTGAATAGATATATAATAAATTGTCCTTTAATAGCGAACATAAGCGATAATTATTTACGTCGAAGTCATCGGTAATTGCAACAACAATCGACAACAATCGGTACCTTACATATAATTATTCACTTCGAGCAAATCTAGGAGAAACACTCAGGAGTGGGTACTTTTATGAATTTACTCTCATCGGTTGACATAAGTCCCTGAACTTTCATTATTGCACCACAAACGATATGAAAAGAAATACCAAGGATTATCATTTCCAGCCTTTTCCAATCCCGGAGAGTGAGTTAGAGGTGGACGACAACGATAGCGATTTCACCACGAATTACAACTTTGCTGGTGCTCCTGTGGGTAATTTTTCTTCAACATATCAGCTACCGAACTTGTCTCAGATGCCAACAAATGATTACACTCAGCATCAAGTACCCTCGTATTCGCAATCTCCTAGCAATCCAGTTAACAATTCTCCGATGATGAATTTTCTGCCAAGCAGTCAAGTCAATCCTACGGCATACCAACCATACCAGTTTCCTCTGCAGCGGGATTATTCATTACCAGATTCTTCTTATCCACTTGAGGAAACCCAAAGAACTATAGCAGAGTCATCTAGCATAAATCCACAAAGGTACCCAGACATGACAACGCTCATTAACTCCAATTCGGGTATCAAAGTCCCTTTGGTGGAAAGTGCCTTCGTGGATAACAAAACTTGCAGTGTTTGTGGAAAGAAGATAAGCCGTGATATGTTACGACATATGAGAACCCATCAATCAGTTGCAAGGTTCAAATGTAACTTCTTGAAGAACCAGTGCAATCATAAATCCAGACGATTTAATAGACCCTACGACCATAAGAAACACTTGTTGAATCGTCACTTCAGATTTGACAATCCCGAAGTAAAGAAATTGCACAATTTAAATGACAAACTAGGGCATTGGGGTACATGTCCTTGTGGTCAACGATATGTGGCAAAAGAGTGGTTAGAGAAGCACATTTTAACAAAGAATGCGGACCTTAAATGTCCCTTTGTTGAATAAACTGATGTCACGTATATTTGCATATAAAGTCTTGATAGATTAATTTTCACTTATAATCATTACACACTCGCATGTTTAGATTACCTTTTTTGTAGTAGCCTTACTCAAGGCTTTTGACTAGCTCGTCTAGTTCATTTCTGCCCACAGCCTTAACTACTGGGCCGTCGCCCTGCTTAAATGGTTCAGATGCCAAATGAACTGCAACCTTCGATACTTCCTCTCCAGTAATAGGATAGGCAGTGAATTTGAATGGCGTTCCCTTGACCATATTCCCCCATTTCTGGAATATTTCGTTGCCTATTCCCTGTGATTTCTCACGCTTTCCTAATAAAGCACCGGGCCTAATAATAATAGTTCTGGGGAATTTCAAGGCAATAATATCGTTTTCCAACTTACCCTTCGACTTCAAGTAGAAAAGCATCGATGACTCGTTAGCACCAAGCGACGACACTAACACAAACGTCTCAATTCCTGCTTCTTTAGCAGCCTTGGCGCATTCGTAGTTGATACCATAGTCAATCTTCTTGAAATTTTCAACTCCTCCGGCATCAGCCCTGGTGGTGCCAAAAGCAGAGAAAAATGTCCTCACCCCTCTGCTATTCTCCTTGATAACCTCTGGCCATTTATCGGCATCTGTTTCGACAACACCATGAACCTTATCTCCGCCATCAGCTGGACGGCGACTAACAGTGTGAACCGTCTCAAACTTGTTTGATTCAGCCGCAACCTTCAATAATTGCGCTCCAACTAATCCAGTAGATCCAATAATAAAAGCACTCATGTCTGTATACTAAATTTGTACTACAATTCCTATAGAAATTCAATTCTTCTTCCCGTATCTATCTTATCTGCTAGTGATGATCAGCCAATGAATAAATACTGGCGGTTATATGCAGGTTGATCATCTAGCGTACTTTCGGTTAAATCGTAGTAGATGATCAAGACGATACTAAGAACTGCCAAGATGGGCTGGTCCAGATGGTATCCGGACCCCTTACTTCTGTTTAGACCTTCTGTGTAGACCTTGAGGGTCGAAAGACATGTAGTGCTCACAAGTAATTCGCAGTAATCGAACCTGTCATAAGAAAAAATACTAGTGTAGAGAATATCTAGGGTATCGAGAAGCTATTAGGTCAAGCATGGTCAGCTGAAGTACATAGAACAGAGGAATACCTGCAAAGCGACCTGTTTAATAAAAGCTAGTGATATTACAGCAACTACTACCAGCAAAATAGGCTACGCTGGTTTTGGAGGTTTTGTGTCATCTAAATTCCAACCCAAGCTTTATAATATTCACGAACAAGGTAAATTCAGTTGCTTCTGAAGAAGAATATTCCGATCAAAATAGGATTGAAACATATAGAAAACGAATAGAAAAGGGTTATTATCAACGAGTAGGGTTTGATTATCATAGAAAATACGATATATTCTAAGATTTCATTGAAAAAATTATATTATTTACATTTGGAACACTTCGACAGTGGACCCGGTAAGCTTATGGATTATGGCCAATATACATCCAAACTATTACACACAACAACAGAATCTAACTAATATAAGTACTAATTGTAATTATTGCGGAAAACCTAATAGTCAGTGCTGCTGTAAGTATAATCAAATGAAGCCAAGCAGAAATTTGGCAGATACCAGAAATGCCGATATGAAGGTTAATTATCACCGAAGTGTGACAGCATCATCGTCGGAATCGACAGATACAACGGGTTCCAATAATAATAATCACAGCAATATAAATGTTCCGGTTCAGAGTTTGTTTGATCATCGTTGGTCGAACCCATCTGTTAACTATCCGATGTACGTCAATAGTATCGCAAGCAACGATTCAGGAAATGTGACTATTGGTGGCGGATCGATCGACAATGGTAATAACAAGTATTATTCTTCGGACAACCAGGTGAACTATGTTCAAACGCAGAATACAGGAAGCCAGGAACTTTATTCTGCATTCAAAGAATCACCTCCGGCATTACAAGCGGAAGTTCAAAGTGTTCCTCCTTCGAGTATTAACTTACCCAAGCGGAAGCCAAGTGTCCAGACATCAGACAAAACCAAGTCGACAAAATATAACAGGATTCCGATACGACAAGAGTTTTCGCATCTAAACAAACCTTCCCATGATTCGTCACATTCGTCCGGTTATAATGATATGGGTGCAGATATGAATAGTTTCTTTAATTTTTCGAATACTGACTTTTCAAGTAACGACCTTTCTACTAATGACTTTGCTAGTGAATTTGCTGTTGGTGCTTTCGCTACCGGCGATTTCAATAACGACTTCGCTAACATTAGTGATAACAACGATAATATATCGGGCGCCGAAAACCCAATCGCATATAATCTGGTGTCATTACCACCAAACGATGACATTACAGGTGATAGTACTATCAAATTACAAAAGAAAAACAAGAAGCCGGAATTTCATCTCCCATTGGACAATTTAAATAATCGTAATGCGATGTTCCTGAAATTAAGCGATTTAACTGCATCATCTCCATCTGACTCAAGCGTGGATAAATACGACCATCTTAAGATCATGGAACCGGACTTAGGTCTTGGCTACGATCATGATTTTAGAAATAATTTTCAAGATAATATAACACCTTCCATGAAACCGCCAGGTACAAATACCCAGGAATATTTCGAGGTTTATAGCCTAAGCGATACTGGCGGTGAGGATAGTTATAAGAATGTCAATATTGATAATGATTACGAAGGTATTAATAGTGGCAGCAACACTGATACTTCGCAAACCGATACCCACAAATTTACTAACCAAATCAGCTCAAGTTATAACGACCGTGGTGGTTTATTACGTCCACGTTTAAATTATGCACAGAGTTTCAATAGTGCACTCGATTCCAAGGCCAGTATAGCCCCCCCATTGAATGGATTCAATTTTGATACCGGCGTAACAAAAAACGTACCTGGGGCGTACCGCAGCACGAGTGACGGCCCTCCAGATACAAACAACGACGACCCAGCTCCCTTGAATAAGAAGAACTTGCTCATGAAAACGCAGCAAAACTACTCGCATCTTGATGTTCAGAGACCCATTTTTGAACGAGCAGATTCAAATCAGAGTCTCAACAGTGTGGGGTCCATTGGCTCAGCAACCAAGAAAAAGAGGACTCCAAAGGGTGCCGTGTGTTCAGTATGCGATAAGTACATAAGTCGTGACCTTACAAGACATATGAGGATTCATGATGACGTTGGTCGTTTTCAGTGTGTCTATCCGAAATCAATGTGCAACCACAAAACAGGCTACTTCAACCGTCCATATGACTACAAGAAGCATTTGCTACATATGCATTTCAAGTTTGATGATCCAAAAGGTAAAACTGCTCATACATTGACTGACAAATTGCCTCTTATAGGGTCTTGTCAAGCTTGTGGTGCCAGATTTTCGGCTAATGATTGGCTCGATTCTCATATTTTAACGAATAATAAGAACCAAAAGTGTCTGTATCTTAGATACGACGTTAATTAACTCATTTCTTGTATGTATCTTCAATTAGACGATTCTTTACATAATTATACCTTCTCATTTTGCAACTAATCGTAGTTTGAGTAGTTAGCGACCTCTATTGTAGAAATTTAATTTGCGCATAAAAAAATCATATATGAACAAGAAAATTGCTCATTAGATTATTGTTCAGGAAGGCATTTTTGTATAAATGAAACGAGTTATACCGTGTCTCAAATTGTAGAATTATGTATGCTGATTGTACTATCGTTTTAAATCAATAATAATTAACTGGAAATGAGTTATATGAAACGTCACGGAATGGCAGGAATGGACATGGGGTCGATGTCAATGGGATCTGCAACCATGGATATGGCATCTGCAACTGCAAGTATGGACATGGGAGCAATGTCCTCGTCAACAATGGATATGGGTGGTATGGACCATAGTATGGACCATAGTATGCACATGTATTTTGTAGGAGAATACTTGAATTACCCAGTCTTGTTCAAAGGCCTTACAGCTTCAAACGGGGGCCAGGCGTTCGGGATATTCCTTCTTTTATTCGTCATCGGGGTCTTTGTCAGGGGACTTGATTTTGCAAGCAAATATTTGGAACAAGTAGTTTGGCAAAATCCAAATTATGTTGATGCTTGCCATACGCCTTCGCCTAACCATGAGGTGAATGCACCGGTTGTAACAAACGGCAATTGCTGTGGAGATAACGCTAGAAATGATACTACGGCTGATTCCATTAGAAAAACTAATTCTTCGTCCCTGGCTATAGGGCAACGGGAATACGAGGGACCTTATGCGACATCGCAGCAGTCAAAGTTACCAATGGCCTCGATGTTATTCAGAAATATAATTAGACTTGCCTTGTGTATACTTCCAGAGCTCTTTGGCTTCGCTTTGATGTTGGCTGCTATGACCTTTTCGGCGTTGTATTTTTTTGCGGTCGTGTTGGGTTTGGGTATTGGTAGATTTATTTTTGATAGATTATCTGACCGTATGAACATAAGACCCAGTGCATCTATTTTACATTGTTAGTTTAGAAGATGGTTTTACGATGCTACGACAAAACATACTGTGGTCAGTTTAATAAATATGTACTTGTACAAATAAGTTTTAATATATTAATAAAGTTTAGTTTAAAATGTCGATAATTTTTCTCTCTAGCTCATTAAACTTCGACTTGTGGAATGAGCTTCCCCGTCCGTCAGCTAGCTTCTCACTATAGAGTAATCTGACAAGGTTTTGTATTTCTTTCGAAGTAAACTTCAAATGGTTCCTCTTAACTATTTCTAGAAATTCTTGCTCGTGTTTAGTGAACAACTCATAGTACACTGATGGCTTAGTAAAATCAACACTTTCAGCATCATTCATCACATTTCGCAACATTTGTTGTAAGGTGAAGGTATTCAATAATATTTTCTTAACACCATTAGTATTTATCTTAGGGATAATATAAGACCCCTTTATCATTATTTCGCTCAAGAATTTTGGTAAACCAACGAAAACTCCGTTCTTCTCGTTATCATTTAGGATGTTATTCAACTTATTTTCCACTGCAAAAGCTTCTTTGTTATATAATCCAATGTACTGATCAGCGTCTCCAGGTTCTGAACTTGGAAGCCATTCACCTCCTTTGAACGACCTTCCAATATAGTACATAGCTTTACACCTCAAATCATATCGAAGTGCAACTAAAGCACCGTCTCTTATGACCTCAAATGTTCTAATTATTTCATTAAACTGGTGAACCTTATCAGAATTTAATGCCAAGTATATGTTTCTTTGTTTGTTATCCAAATTTGTAGGACTTGTGAGACCATTCTCAAGGAAACACCAATCATGCTTCAACTTATCTACCGTAGAGAGTTTGACAGTGTCAACATCATCATTATAAACTGTATAATTTGATTCTTTTTTCATTGATGGTAACCATGTCAATATCCAAGATGTTGTTAGCAAAAGATAACATACCTGGTTAATGGAGTCATTGTCTAAGAAATCATCCTTTGTAATATCAAAAATGTGTCTAGACTTGTCATTATTATACGTCATAATTTCAATTTCTTTATCAAGTAATGCATCAAAATCTTTTGGAGTTGAATCTTGTTGTAATATTATGTTCGATATCTCAATCAAGGCTGGTATGCGCATCCAAGAATTGAGCTGCAGACTAGGTTTCGAAGTATTATTCCCGTGTATTGAATCATCTTGGTCCTGTACTCCACTTGGGAGCAATAATTCGTTATAAAATTGTGCATAAGTATCTGAGAATCTTCTCAAAAAATGCAAACATAAATCACTAAAATCTTTACGGTATGTTAAAGATGTGTTTAAAACTGAACAAGCATTGGTAAATAACCGTCTAAAATCTAATGCATTTTGAAATATCATTGCAGAAGAATTACTAGTAGTGTTAATTACAAGGGAATTTGAATCACTTTCAATTTGATCCAACGGCGTAACCTCTGATCTAAAGCCCGACAACACGGAGTTATTAATATCTGGGTTTTCATGTTCAGCAATAGAATTTTGCTCAAAATTAGATTTACCACTAACATATTCCCTGAACGCATTATCGAGATTCTCCTTCAACCTTGGAAGGAAAGAGCCTTTCATATACTCATTAAAGAACTTAAGAGCTGTATTATTTTGTGTGCTGGAAGTAGTCTCTTCTTCTGCAAAATTAGCAAATAATTTTTGAGATCCGGCAATAAAGACCAATAAAAATTCTAGAATTATTCTCATATTAAATATATTCTTAGGAACAAGAACTTCCACCATAGCATTAAACGTTTCATTCTTGATATATGGAGATTCAATCTCGAACGAGTTTGCCTTCGTATTACTTCCAATTTTATGGTCTGAATCAGATAAAACGAAGCCCGGAAACATATCTTGCAATATAGTTTTCATATCTTCTGTAGTCTTCGCCGATTTGTCGTAGGAAACGTCCTCCAATTTGAATAAATCACTTCTCAGTAAAACATCGTTTAAACTACTTTGTTTATTTAATTCATTACCTCCATTAATTGGATTCAAACCAAAAACTGGCACGTCATATGTATAGTTAATCATTAAGGCTCGTAATTCCTTTCTAATTGAACCCCAGATATTATCAAAGCTATGATTTATGTTGTATGAGTCTCTAACCTTGATCTTTTCGACAATCTCAGTTACCACTTTATGTTTTTGTAAAACTGCTAAAGCTTTAATGAATATAGATCCAAATAAATCTTGTAGGATAACAACAGAGTAATCATTAAAAGTACTTCCACTTATCATATCTGTAGCATAAGAATGATCGAGGTTCTTCAATTTTGCTAATTTATTCAAATGTTGCATATTTCTCAGTTTAGCTTCTTCTGTTGTTCTATTTATTAATCCATGTAATTCTTGTTGGTTTGAATTTATGAGAATTTCCAATACTTGTGGTAAACGATTCAACTTGGACGCGGTGTTTAATAACTTGTATATGTAATGATAGGACTTTGAGCTATCATTCAGGGCTGCATCAAGCATTATTGAATAATCTGTTTCAGACTCACTATTAGAATAATGTGCGTGAAGTTTGGGAAGCTGGTTGACAATAAATTCCTCGACAGGCTCGGTAAAGCAATCAGCAATTTCTGATATATCTAAGTTCGCTGAATTATAGATATATTGTTCTAGATTATTCAGTTCTGTGATCAAAGCCTTGATCGAGGACAATTGAGGCTTTCCCGAGGTACCTAACGCCTGCCATGAAAGAACATTGTTCCCTGTAGACCCGTCATTCAGTAATGACACATTCTTTAAGTATATTTCGTTCTGCAACTCATCAACAATCATATCAAATAAATTATTGGATTGCAGTTCCAAATAACTTCTGGTGGTGCTCATAGCCGACAATGACCATAAATTATATTGTTCTGCAACCTTATAACCATGGGATATCACATCGTACACTTGATGGATTTTTTTATCAATAATAAGCTGGTCTATTTTATCGGGTATCGAGACCAATTCGTCCATTGCATCCAAAATTTCAATCATTTCAGAATATCTTGCAGACGTTTGGTTCAATTCCGTCAACACGTCTGAACGATTATGAATCTCTGTGGTGGCAGATTCAAGCATTTCCTTTATTTGTATAGAATCCTGTTGTGAATCCCGAAGGGTTGAAAGCAACACATGATACGAACCAATACTATTATTGAAAATATCATGATGCTCGTTCACAACGTGCCGTAAAGCAGTTTTGGTCTGTTTAGATAAGTCCTGGAATTCTGGTAACTTATACGCCATTCCAACGGATGTGTCGTCAAGAAGTGACACTGCCATTTCAATCGGATTAGCGTTTTCTTGTAAACATTGAGGCCATTCATATCTGAGAGTGGTCTGAACTTCTTTCAATTCGAATATGGATTCCTTCATCTTTCGCTGTTCTTGTTCAGACTTATGTCCATTGAAGTTCATACTTAATGACCTATTACGATTCACCATCTTCTCACCTATTGTCTTAATGGATTTATACCTATGATCTTTTTCTTCATTCGATTGAATAATAGAACCTCAGGCTAGACTAGATCGAGGAATTTGTTGATGCGAGTTTTGTGTAAGTTATCAGATAAACAGAAGTTGGAGGTAAACATTACTACAATAGATCAAATATACAATAAATGATATGGATAGTATAGAAATAATAGATGTGCTAGAAAGCCCTACAGTCACAAAATCTAATGGTGAAATAATTGAAATGTATGTTATTTATATGACTTCTTATTTATAGAGCCCGCTAACATTCTAGTCTTTCTGATTCAGATGATGCTAATATCCATCCACATGTAAATGAAACGGGAAATAAACAAATAGGCAAAGATCTAATATTGTCTGATATTTCTTATGATGATCCGAGCCAGAAAAGTGACAATGCAGGAAAGAGCGTCAAGAGAAGAAAGAGGAATATCATAATTCTGGAGCAGCCATCATCGCCGGATAGGTTAGCTAACACATCGATTCTTAACTCGTCATTTAGCTTTATTACACGAGAAGACGAGCCTGAGCCTACAAATACAGCAGCTAGTAGCAATACGGCAATTCTCGACGTCACTAACTGGCTCTCTGACAGTGGTGACGAGTCAAATCAGATTTTGAAACCTGCGACAGATAGAACGACTAATGCATTGAAATCAAACACCACTTCAAATTGTGATACTAAACGTAAAATAAATACAAGAAACGTGCCTAGCTATACCAAAAAGACTAGTGTTACTACGGGCCACCTAGCGGCTGTAGACCTGCGGGTCGCAGAATTATCAGACCCTATAGAATCCTCTTCACCTTTGCAATATTCTTCGAAGAAATTTGTCCAAAGTCATAGAAAAGTGGTTCAACCAGCAAAGAAACGTGGCAAAGACCCCCTTCCTGTAGGGCCGTATTCCAAAAAGGAATTGAACGAAGCAAATAAAGTGACAAGAAAAAAAGAGGAACTTCTATCTGAAATGGTCATACAAATACCTTCGCTTTTATACGAAAACCATTTTGAAGACGAGCATATGAAACAAATATTCGTTGAGCCAAAAGTGGAGAAAACGAACTCTAATTTACCCGTCATTTCTTGGAAGAGAAAGGTGAAAGCTAGGTATGATGCAGAGCGGGACGTTTTTATCCCTTGTGAACCTACGGAGATCAACGAGAAGAATATTGTGATATATTATAATGCAAAGGATTTTGTAAATTCCTTAATTGAAGGAACAATATCTCTGTTGGTTGATGCATGTAAAATAGAAGCTAAACGCCATAACCTGTCGTCCGGGTCTCATATAATAATAATTGTAGAAGGGTACGTTCAATTTTTAACAAAAATAAGGAATATGGAAGACAAGAGGTATAAGAAGGCTATTTTAGATAAATTAAATCCCACTGATGATAATACAGGAAACAAGAGGCTGAAAAAACAAGACGATACTGTGTCATTGTCGCCGAAAGAAATTGACCAATTAGTTAATGAAACCCAAGTAAGATTAAACGTCAATATATTTCCTGTCAAGAATAACAAGGATGCCATAAATTGGCTACAATCATTCACTTATACAATCGCATATGCATTATATGATAAATTCGAAAGAAACATATCATTGGCCAATCTTGGCACAGTAAAATCAGGCACTGATACTAAATCAACTTATTTCCAGACTGTTAAGCAATTTAGATTGATGACAGAGCCGAAAGTTGAAAAACTATATGGATTTTATACGTCCATATTTGCATTATATTCAAGATTTCAGACTAACGATACTCTTGGAAAGGATAATTTTGGTAAAAATATCGTCCCCCCCTCTACCGAAAGTGCAATGAAGAAGCTCTTCACGTCAGACGACCCAAATGATGTGGTGCACGAGTAACGTAATACAATATTAGCTAAGAAAATTAATAAATGGTAATATTACATATTATATATTATATATTATTTACGTCATAATTTATTCATCAAGTTGTTGTATATACTCCTTAGTTATGAAGGTACTAAACGCCAGTTAGTAATGTACGAGAAACCAAAATGCTATAAGATAAGATACGAACTATCTCAAATTATAAATGCAATGCGATCAATTAACTACTTGCTTTACCGAATTATACTCATCTTCTGAAATTCTATCCTTTAAATTTTCAATCTCTTCCAATCCTTGTGCTATATCACCAATTTCAATAGATGAAAATTCAAACTCCGAGGACGCCAACTGTGAAATTATATTCAATGCCTTATCAATGCATCCAATATGGCCATCCTTTTGCAAGAGCGTTATTATGTTTGCAACCAACTTTTCCCTGTGGACATGTTCTTCCTTCTTTTTATCAAGAGGTGTGGATAAAATCGCCGACACCAATGATAAGATTCTTAATTTTACCTTGTGGTCTTCGTTTTCGTTAAACTTAACGACACTCCACCCGTCTAACTCGTCAAACTTAGCGTATCCAGCTTCAAAGTTTCTGATCAACGACGAAATGGCAAACAATGCCTTCAAGCGAAGCTCAGTTGGCACATCTTCCTCATTGCAAATACTGATCAACTGGGCTAATCCGTCGTATTTCAAGAAATCCTCTTGCGACTTAGGATTGTTTTGAACCGCTATCCCAGCACACGATGCCGCATATACCCTCAACGAAGTAGGTGTCTCCCCTGACATCTTATCGATCACAGACGACCACAACTTTATATTCTCAATATTATTCGCATTATCCATGTTTTCGATCAACATTTCAAAATTATCGAACGCTATCTCCCTGTTTTCCAACGTCGCTTCCTCGTTGTCTATCACCATTATAGCTTGCTTCATCAACGCTGGCTCATCGGGGCCTCCGAACAATTGTTCCAACATTTTAGGATCTGGCTTCCCTATCTTCTCTATAGCTTCCTGATCTCCCGATTGTTGTGCAATCGACCATTGTAAAAGTTTATCCATCTTGTCTATATCTTAATTTTGCCTTCAGTGTCCTTCCAAATCACTTTACTAGCGTCTTCTCATCGCTTTTTATCTTCTTATAAGGCCATCTCTAGATGATTTCTCGAATATTCCGCGACATTTGTACGGCTTCCACGACATTCTCCTGAAAAATTTCCTGCGACATTTATTGTCGCAATCCTCCCTCTAATATGTTCCATTTTGCCGGACGAGAGTCAGCATTATAACCAACGTGTTAAGTACGATCGATAAGGTAATATGGTTCAATTTTAGTTGTCAAAGTGTACATAGTAGTATATATCGGGTGATAGGTCTTGTATATTGTAGTTTTATGATGGCATTGATGGCAACAGTTATTAACGTCTACGCAAGCAATGACTAGACGGATGGAAGAAATCCGCCGGGGTCGTAAAAAGTCCGAGGTAGTGGAACCTCACCATAGTCGTAGTATAAAAGAATTCATATATCCTAGTAGTTAGATCAATTGAGACGCAATATTCGTAATTAATTATTTATATCGATTAATTAAGAAACAAATTGTACTACGAACCATAATGTCTTTATCTAACAAGTTATCTGTCAAGGACTTAGATGTCTCCGGTAAGAGAGTTTTCATCAGAGTTGATTTCAACGTTCCATTAGATGGTAAGACCATCACCAACAACCAAAGAATTGTTGCTGCTTTACCAACCATCAAGTATGTGTTAGAAAACAAGCCTAAGGCTGTTATCTTGGCTTCCCATTTAGGAAGACCAAACGGTGAAAAAGTTGACAAGTTCTCTTTAGCACCAGTTGCCAGTGAATTGGAAAAGTTGTTGGGTAAGAAGGTTAACTTCTTAGACGACTGTGTTGGTGACAAGGTTGAAAAAGCCGTGAATGGTGGTAGTGACGGCGAAGTTTTCTTATTAGAAAACTTGAGATTCCACATCGAAGAAGAAGGTTCGCAAAAGAAGGACGGTGAAAAGGTCAAGGCTTCCAGCGAAGATGTCAAGAAATTCAGACAACAATTGACCAGCTTGGCCGATGTCTACGTTAACGATGCTTTCGGTACTGCCCACAGAGCCCACTCTTCTATGGTTGGTTTAGAATTACCACAAAGAGCTGCTGGTTTCTTAATGGCCAAGGAATTAGAATACTTTGCTAAGGCCTTAGAAAACCCAGTCAGACCTTTCTTAGCCATCTTAGGTGGTGCCAAGGTTTCCGATAAGATTCAATTGATCGACAACTTATTAGACAAGGTCGATTTATTGATTGTTGGTGGTGGTATGTCTTTCACCTTCAAGAAGGTCTTAGACAACATGCCAATTGGTGACTCCTTGTTCGACGAAGCTGGTGCTAAGAACGTCGAAAACTTAGTTGCCAAGGCTAAGAAGAACAACGTCAAGATTGTCTTGCCAGTTGATTTCGTTACTGCCGACAAATTCGACAAGGATGCTAAGACCTCTACTGCCACTGAAGAAGAAGGTATCCCAGACAATTGGATGGGTTTAGATGCTGGTCCAAAGTCCAACGAATTGTTTGCTAAGACCGTTGCTGAAGCTAAGACTATTGTCTGGAATGGTCCACCAGGTGTTTTCGAATTCGAAAACTTCGCTAAGGGTACCAAGTCTTTATTAGATGCTGCTGTCAAGTCTGCTGAATCTGGTAACACTGTTATCATCGGTGGTGGTGACACTGCTACTGTTGCTAAGAAATACGGTGTTGTTGACAAGTTGTCCCATGTCTCCACCGGTGGTGGTGCTTCTTTAGAATTATTGGAAGGTAAGGAATTGCCAGGTGTTGTTGCTATTTCCGATAAGAAATAAATCAATGCATAATACTGATTTCTAAAACGTATTTATGATTTAATATTATTTAATTACTTTATAGTGTATAGCTACATTAATAGGACGCTATTTTGATCTATAATAATTCGTATTTTACAGCCAGTAAATTCACAATAAAAAAAAAATTTAAATAAATAAGATAATTGTTATACAATTATCACTGAACTTATAAGACTATAACTTAGCTGCTCCTTTCATGATCTTTCCCCAAGCT